TAAAAACTACCCGCAAACAATGTGTTAAAATGTACAATTCAGTGGTTTTTGGTACATTTCGTTATTAATTTTTTTTACGTGGTAAAATACTTATAAACTGTGCCATTTTAACTACTGAGTATAAAATTCTGTGGCATACAGAACATTCGGAGGCAGTCCTCACCACGACCTGTTAAGCAGCCAGCCTCCATTCCCCTCCCCAGCCACCTCTACTCTGCTTTCTGTCTCTAACGTGCCACTGCATTCTTTTTAAACTCTCCCCATAACCTCTGGGTAATAAGGTTGGTCCCAGGTTTTGCAACTAAAATAGACACCACTGGGCATGTACCAAGAGGAGGCTTTCTGCAGGACATTTTAGCTGCCACAAATCAGAGAGGTAAAAACCACCCTTCCGAGAACACTGAGCTAGAAATAAAAATTATTACAATTTTAAGGAAATAATTTCTCTGTAACTAGTACAGTTCATAGAAATATAGTCTAGAAACTCTCAAGCCCACTGGGATAGTGTACACTGATGCTCAAATAACACCATCTGTGATAGCAAAGATCTGAAAGTAGGTCTCCACCAACAGAAGAATGGACACACAAACTGTGGTATTGTCATAAAGATAGGACATAGCAGTGAAAATTAATTACCTTAAGCCACAAGGAAAAAAAAAGGATCAATCTCATAAAAATATTGAGTGAAAAAAGTGAGCTCAATAGAACATATGTGGAATAATACCATTTATGTAAAGTTTGAAAACATGCTCAACAATACCAAATGTTGCTTAAAGATATATACGTCAATGATAAAACTATCAGATTTGAGATAAAGGTCCCTGAAGGAAGGGAGATGAGGGGTTATTGCCAAAGAAGACACAAGAGAGATTTAACCATGTGGACAAGGTTTTGTTTGGAATGCTGAACACCACATATCATTACTCATTGTAAACATTAATTTTAAAAAGTAAAAACAAGAAAAGTTGACAATATCGGGACAAAAAGACACTCAACTAAGAAAAGTGTCATCATTTCAACAGCACGGGGACTTTGGGATCTTTGGTAACCCTTTGCTTTGAACCAAACAGGAAGATAGATGTTTATCGTTGTCAGTCTTTTCAGAATCATTTTCTAACATAAAACATATTTCACTGACCATCTTTTAAGAAGATGAAGTGATACCACACAATCTGTGTCCGCTGGCAGTTCGATTTTCTTCTACTCCCCCAAACTCAGGTCTAGTACTCTCCCTGTATCGCTGCACGAGCTCTGGAATGGGCTGAACTCCTCCCCGACTCCCCACTGCCCTTCTCTTGACTCCCAGGGTCCTTTCTGTGCAGCCCAGTCCAGCTTCCACGTCCACCAGGGGCCAACACTCAATGTGAATGATTTTGTCAAATCTTTCGACAGCCCTCTCAGGTCAGTCACCAAGAGTATTATTTGTTCACAGAAGATGAGACAGGCTCAGAGGGGGTGGGCATGTGGTGCTAGGGGTGGATGTGAGCCGGGAGCTCACCTCTTTGCAGTGCTGATCTTTCAGTAGGTCTCGGAGGGTGCGGTTGGTCTCCTCAAATGTGCTCAGCTTCTGCAGGAGAAGTTCCTTCTGCCTCGTAAGGGTGTTGATGTCCGTACAGGTCATTTGTTTTTCCTGGAAGACAGCAAGAAGCCTTACATGGTGCAGGGAGAGAAGGGAGGAGCCGGCCGAGGCAGGCCACACCAGGACTTAAGAGGTACTGGTTGGTGCCCGGAAGCCCAGCAAAGACCTGGGCTGTGTACAGGGTCAGGATGGCAAGGACAGGATTCCGGGAGGTCTGGGACCTGGAAGGATGGGCAGGATCTGAGCCTGCCGACAGCGATAGTGGGGAAACTCCGTGTGGGTGAGTGCAGTCAAGGCAAGCTTCTTAGAGGAAGCTGACGACACCACCTGGTGGCTGATGCTGTACTTGCAGGAATCAGATGGTGGGGTGATCCCAAGAGACCCATGACGAGGTCTCCTCAGAGGCCCTGGCCACCAGAGGTCATCCTTAAGGGTCTGGCCCTGGGCCTGAGGGTGGGGGATGGGAACTGAGGAGTTCAATGTGCCCTTCCCCCGCCTGGAGATGTCATAAAGTCAGCCTGATGACTGCGTAAAGCCCCCACCCTCGCTTGTGGCTGCCCCCTCTCGGGGCCCAGTCGCAGGGCTAGGTTGCTCTGCCTACCACCCACCGTCTTCAGCTTCCCGATGGTATCCTTCAGGGCCATGACTTGCTTGGCTGCGGCAGCCCCATCCATTTCCGCCTCCACCAGCTTGGACATGAGGCACTCCTTCTCCTGCTGGAGGTGTTTCTTCTGAAGCCTGGGGCCAGAAAGGAGGACTCTGAGCCTCTCAAGCCCCAGCCCCCGGAGCTCTGAGGCTCGCCTCACAATGCCCTGTGAGCCTCATCTCCTAGTCAAGGAACGGTGGGGGAGGGGGAAGGGGTAGCCCTCTGGTCCAAGTGGCCTAGAAAGACACCTGGGCACCAAAGCAGGGCTTCCACATCAGGTCAC